CATGAGTCTTATAAGTAGGATTACAAAAGAAACCAATCATATTGGGGTACAATTTTCAAAATGATAAGAAACACATCTGTAATGTAGTTAATATATGTGCTTCTTTATTAACACATTAAATAGCAAGCTCTATCAACAGGTCTAGTGACGACCATGATTTTTGAAATAGTGATGTTATTTTGAGAGATATGCAACAACCATAATAATGAAAATCTGATCTCTCTTAGTGTCAAAGTCACGGATGCTAGTATTACTGCAGTTTGTTACCCACATCCCCTAGAAAGATATGCTATATTTCTGTTAGCAATAGTGAAAATAATGATGCAATTTCCCCTCTATCCAAGTCCATGGGCTCTTTGAATTCTATTCACTGACTCCTCAGGGGTCTTTGGATTGTGGGTTAAGAACTGTGTTTAGAGAGAGCTCTCTGAACTTCTTTTGGTTCTGAGGGCTGCACAATTAAAATAACTGTTTTTAGAGCAAATGGAAGCCATTAGTGAATACTTCTCTCTTGCCACCTCCAAAATTGTCTCCCACCCACACCATCCTTTCCTCGGGTCTCAGAGAAGTCCTGTTTAGGGCTCACCCTTCCACTGGGTTTTGTGTCCCAGCCCCTCCCACTTTCTTGGGGATTTCTGCCATTGAGCATCCTCTCTCTTGATTGCATGCACCTCTGTCTCAAAACCATTAGAAAATAGGGAATAGGGGCTGAGTGCAGTGGTTTACACCTGTAATCCTAACATTTTGGGAGGCTGAAGCAGGAGGATGTCTTGAGCCCAGGAGTTTGAGACCAGCCTGGGCAACATAGCAAGACCCTGTCTCCACACACACACACACACACACACACACACACACACACACAAATAGGGAATAAAGTGATGTCAACCTTTACACGCACATACTCAACAGTTTGGATGCATATCTCATGCGAACCTGAGGGCCAGAGGTGCGCAAAGGGGCCCAACAAGGACACCAGAACAAGCAACACGCAGCATTGTGTCAAATTAGCCCTTCCAGGGAACAGAGAAAAACAAAGGTGGTCTTTACTCCTGGGTGGTCTTCACTCCTGGGAGATAAAAACCACAAGATAACCCATTTAACTCTTGTGGACACCTGCTGTTACCTCTGCAAAGACAGAGCTACACTGGTTCCAGCTGGCTCTGAGGTGACATTGACAAATATAAAGAATCTCAATTACATCGTCATTTATGTAAGGGGAAAAAAAGAACCCCAAGTGATGATTATACAGAGCCTGTCATTTCTGAGTGAACAGGGGCACAATCTGAATGATTGGTTTAAACGCTGAAGGACTGCAGGGGACATGAAAATTACTGTGGCGAGCGTTTGAGAGGATGCTGAGGACGCATGTTGGCTGAGTGTTTGCTACTTGAATAAATGGGGCTGATGTCTGAATGAGCCTGAAGGATGACAGCCTCAGGTTATGATGACTTTACTGTTGCCTAAATCAACTGCCACTTTTCAGGCCTTGTGTAATCAGACCTTTCTAGCTGCATTTGACATATTCATCACTCGCTCTTCCTAGAAACTCCCACTTGGCTTCCAGGAAGCCTGACTCTCCTGGTTTCTCATACTCCCCTGATGCATGAGTCTTATAAGTAGGATTACAAATGAAACCAATTATATTGGGGTACAATTTTCAAAATAATAAGAAACGCATTTGTGATGTAGTTAATATATGTGCTTCTTTATTGACACATTAAATAGCAAGCTCTATCAACAGGTCTAGCGATGACCATGATTTTTGAAATAGTGATGTTATTTTGAGAGATATGCAACAACCATAATAATGAAAATCTGATCTCTCTTAGTGTCAAAGTCTTTTGTCTCCTCCCTGGGTTCTTTTTCTTCTGCCCCCTCTCTGGGGAGTTTATCCATCTCCTGGTTTCAATACTCCCTCTCTGCTGAGGACTTCCCAGTCTCTACTTTGAGCTCATCTTCTCCACTGAACTTCAGAATCATATAGCAAATAATTTGCTGGCCCTCTACACCAGATATCCTAAATTAAACTCAATCATTGCCCCCTAAAACTGCTATATCTCAACTGGTTGCAGTACTAACTTCCTAGATACCCAAGCCAGATCCTGGGACTCACGCCCTCTTCACCCCATCTAAGCAACTGCCAAGTCCTGCTGATTTAACTCCTACATACTTTTTGAATCTGGCACCTCCTCCCTCCTACTTTCCTATTATCACCATCCCAAATCTCTTGCCTGTACAATTGCAACTGGTCAGACTCCACTGTTGCTGCTCTTAAAAGGATCATCCAAGAAACCAGCAGAAGCCTCTTCCTAAAACCCAATTTTTATTATTATCGCTTGCTTTCAAACTCCTTTAGTGCCCCCTCTTCACTTTTTTTTTTGGGGGGGAGGAGTCTTCCTCTGTCGTCCAGGCTGGAGTGCAGTGGCAAAATCTCCACTCACTGCAGCCTCCACTTCCAGGGTTCAAGCGATTCTCATACCTCAGCCTCTGGAGTAGCTGGGACTACAGGCGCCTATGACCGCACCCAGCTAATTTTTGTAAATTTAGTAGAGACAGGGTTTTACCATGTTGGCCAGGCTGGTTTCGAACTCCTGACCTCAAGTGATCTGCCCACCTCGGCCTCCCAAAGTGCTGAAATTACAGGCGTGAGCCACCATGCCCGGCCCCCACCTCCTCACTTTTAAGACTTTCCATAATCCAATGGCTGCTGGCTAACTTTGGCCTCTATAACATGATACTTTCCAGTAACAACACACTACTTGATACCCCCACAGTAGTGTTGCCAGATGAGGTATAGGATGCTCAGTAATTAAATTTGAATTTCAGATAAACGATGAATTTTTTTTTTTTTTTTTTTGAGACGGAATCCTGCTCTGTCACTCAGGCTGGAGTGCAGTGGCATGATCTCAGCTCACTGCAACCTTCTCCTCCTGGATTCAAGCAATTCTCCTGCCTCAGCCTTCCTAGTAGCTGGGACTACAGGTGCCCACCACCACACTCGGCTAATTTTTGTATTTTTAGTAGAAACAGAGTTTCATCGTGTTGGTCAGGCTGGTCTCGAACTGTTGACCTCAGATGATCCACCCACCTTGGCCTCCCAAAGTACTGGGATTACAGGTATGAGCCACTGCGCCCGGCCGAATAATTTTTTCGTGTAAGTAATTCCATGCAATCTTTGGGACATGCTTATATTGTAAAACTATTTGCTATTTATCTGAAATTCAGACTTGTGGGCACCCTGTATTTTTATTTGCTAAATGTGGCAACCCTACCCCACAGATAACCCCCAGGATGGTGAGATGCCCCTTCTGAGGGTCCCACAGCTCTGAACCAACACTTACCCACCTGAGAGACTGGGGATCTATTCTGATCTCTGTATCCTTGCTATGCAACACAGAGAGGCTGGCATAGAACAGATGGCAGTGTTTGCTGAGTGAATGAATGCATATGTGTGACACAGCAATAAACCTGTATCTTCCGGTGGAATCAGTAAGTATTGTGATCAGTATACAGTGTCAGTTCCGCTTGTATCCACCTTCCCTTCACAGTCTTGGAAAAATCACCTCATGGTTTACACATCCCCCCAGGCAGGTGAGCTAGAAAGCCAGGAGTCATCTGTAGACTTAGGGAAGCCAGTATAGGACCAGTTGGGTTTTCTGTTTTTTATTCGGAGTGGGGAGAAAAGGGAGGGAGACGACCATCTTCTCGCGATATGAAAGTCGAGAAAGGCAAACAGGAGGGGAGCAAGAGAGGAAAAGAAGAGGATGTGAAAAGCCCGAAGGAAGGCAGGAGAGCAAGCAGGTAGGAATGAAGGCGAGGAAGCGGGAGCCAGCTGGCACCACAGCGAGGAGTGACAGCCGCCGCCAGCAGGGGCTGGGTACTGGGAGGAGGGAGGCTCAGGCAAGCCGCGCTGAGCCATTCTTCTCCTTCCCAGACTCCTCACCATCCATCCTGCTAACCGAGGGCCTCCACCCTGCTCGTCGTCAGAGGCAGACACCCAGGGCTTGGCCCTCTTGGGCTTCCTAGCTCTCCAGCCCAGGAGTTAGACTAGTTTTCCAACTCCCCCAGCCCCAAATCGGGAGGACAATAATCCCTTCCGCTCTGCGCCTGCCAAGGTCGAGTTAGGAAAGACTTGGAACAGAATTAAATGGCATTGGGGAAGATGAGTCAGCCGGGCGGGGCTGCAGCTGCCAGTGAAACCCCTGCCAGTGTGATTGGGCAACAACCAGAAGTAGGGGACCCGCGGGGTGGTGGTGCCATCCGTTAAAGGCAGTTTATGTGATAAGTCTTGATCGCGCACCCACTAAAGGGGCAGCTTTGGGGTCAGCCTCAATTTCCTCCACTGTGAAGTGGGAATATGAATACTTGACTTATCCGAAACGAATCATGTCTCCAAGGTGCCTGGGCTATAAAAAGCGGTCAGTCAGTAGTCACGGTCGTGCTTAGTGCCGTGCCCTCCACCCTAGGCCACTTTCGCCGTGTGAGACTGTCCCAAAGGCGTGGGTGTGGGGTGCAGTGGGGAGCCCCTGATCGGGCACGGGCAGAAGACAAGTTCTTTTTTTCCCACCACTTCCAGGTGAGGAAGAGAAGACGCCTGCTCCGGAACCAAGGGTAGGGTGGCGATGTACTGGCCTCACCCGCTTTAAGCAAAGTCACATTAGATTTACCATGTTTGCTATTCACTCATTCATTTTCTATATTAGAGGGACTGCTGATTAAACGGAAGGACTTAACACTAAGACTCCAGTACCAGGCTATACTATAGACCTGACCGAGTGAGCGTGAGAAGATGAGACCCGGGAGAAGAAGGAGGGCGACAGCGGGCACCGAGATCCACAGGTCCAGAGTCTAGCTGCCACCCATACCCAGTGTTTTGGGAGCGGTGCGCGGCATCTGCGCATGCGCTCCCCACCCCTGCCAGGTCCCCCGCGGGGTCAGACGGCTCGCCAGCGGAGGTACTGCCCGCGCATGCGTGTCTTGCTCACACGGCGCTCCCAGTGCGACTGGAGCGTCTCCAGTGGAGCTGGCAGTTGGGAGGCCGGAGGCCCGGCCCATAGCGGGTGGCTGTTAGGAGCTATGGATGAAGGACCTGTGTATGTTGGTGCCCGCTGTCGCCCTCCTTGTCCCGAGGTCTCGTCTTCTTACACTCACTCGGTGTGTGACAGCGACAGGTCACAGAGGGCGGTAACGTACGGCGCCCCTGGGGCGGTTTCGTTTGGCGCGGAGTAGAGGTGGCCCGGCAGTTGTGGTTGCTCCTTTCGCCTGGACTCACCTGTGTGGTCCCCTGGCGGGGACTCAACACCAGAAGACGGAGGGGAGTGAATGTGTTTGGCTCGGAGGAAACCCCTCTTGAGCCTGCCCTCACATCCTTACAAGGGACCCAGTCTGAGGTCCAGTCGTCCCCAAACCATCCACTCCTCCACCACCCCCTTCCCTGACTAAAGGCTAAATTTGGACGGTAACCACGCCCTACCCCATCCCCTTGGAGTCCTTCAGTCAGCTCCAAAGGCCCACCCCACATTCTGGGGGCCTCTGAGTCGAAAAGGAGGGCCCATTGGGCAGGGTGGGGTTGAGGGACCTGCTGTGGAGATGTCTCTGGCCTGGGGAAACCACTGCTTCCTCATCTACCACTGAGACTGAGGAAGACCCGCAGATGGGCCTTGGCAAGCACCCAGAAGAATAACTCCAGAACACCATTCAGGAAGTTAAGACAGTGGGAGATTGAGTTAATGACCTTGACCCCAGACCCATGTAAGGAAAGGAAAGGGAGCCTCTGGCTGCTCCTTCTGCAGATGTGAAGTTGAAGAGGCTTCAAGGACCTTAAAACCTAATGGTTCTTATGAATGAGAAACATTCATACCCAGTGGTACTGTTTAACTCACATACCATGTCTCAGGATCTGTTGTGAGCATATTAACTCTTATTTACTTACTTACTTATTTATTTATTTATTTATTTTATTTTTTTGAGACAGAGTCTCACTCTGTCACCCAGGCTGGAGTGCAGTGGCGCCATCTCAGTTCACTGCAACCTCTGCTTCCTGGGTTCAAGCAATTCTCCTGCCTCAGCCTCCCAAGTAGCTGGAGTTGCAGGTGCGTGCCACCAAACCCGGCTAATTTTTTTTTTTTTTTTTTGTATTTTTTTTAGTAGAGATGGGGTTTCGCCATGTTGACCAAGCTGGTCTCGAACTCCTGACCACAGGTGATCCACCCCTCTCGGCCTCACAAAGTGCTGGGATTACAGGTGTGAGCCACTGTGCCCAGTCAATTTTTGTATTTTTAGTAGAGGCAGGGTTTCACCATGTTGGCCAGGCTGGTCTCAAACTCCTGACCTCAGGTGATTCACCCGCCTCGGCCTCCCAAAGTGCTGGGATTACAGGCATGAGGCACTGCACCCGGCCCATATTAACTCTTTTTTGTTTTATTTGGTTTTTTTTTTTTTTTTTTTTTTTTTTTTTGAGACGGAGTCCCGCTCTGTTGCCAGGCTGGAGTATAGTGGCACGATCTCAGCTCACTGCAACCTCCACCTCCTGGGTTCAAGCGATTCTCCTGCCTCAGCCTCCCGAGTAGCTGGGATTACAGGCATGTGCCCCTACACCCGGCTAGTTTTTGTATTTTTAGTAGAGACGGGGTTTCACCATGTTGGCCAGGATGATCTCGATCTCCTGACCTTCTGATCCTCCCACCTTGGCCTCCGAAAGTGCTGGGATTAGAGGGCTGAGCTGCCGCACCCGGCCATATTTACTCTTAATCCTCACAACAACCCTATGAGGTAGGCTTTACCATCTTCCTCGTTTTACAGATGAAGAAAGTGAGTACTGAAAAGTTAAGCCACTTCCCGAGGTCTCACAACTAGTCAGAAGCAAAGCAGGACTTCAAACTCAGGCATTCTGGCTCCAGAGTCTGCACTGTTTTGAACACAAGTGAAACTGCTCTGAGGAAGAGAACAGATAAGAGAGACCCAGTAGAGGTCAAGATTGAAACTCATTTCCTAAGCACCTGCTCTCACACTATTTCAGTCTTCCAAATGACCCTGTGAGGGAGGAATCTGAGGCAAAGAGAGGTTACATATTTTTAAAGAAATATGTTATTCATGACACTTGTTAAAGATGGTAGAGCCAGGCTTTATTCAAGGCCATGGTGACAGGTATGCAGACCACTGCAATGGGGTCTTGCAGTGGGAGAAAGATTGGACTCAACTCTAAGTCCAACAATGACAAGTGGAGATTTCTAACCAAGGAGCAGGGTGGGGTCAGTGGATGGGAAATTACTAAGAGGAAACATCTAGGACAAGGGGTTTCTGGCTAAACTGACTTGATAGGATTATTGTTGAAGGCAGGCCAGGATGATAAGAATCCAGGGTAGTCGGACACCAAGGGTGGGAAATTTCCCCTAAATTGACCTAGCAGGATTCTTGCTCAAACTAGATTCAACAAGGATAGAGAGAGTCCTTATAAGGACCCTTACAGGGACAGGTCAGGCCTAGTCAAGCAGAGTACATGAAGGAGCCTAAGGTTTTGGTCAAAGGAGACAGTCTTTGTCAAATATCTTGCCCAGCCGGGCAAGGTGGCACATGCCTGTAATCCCAACACTTAGGGAGGCGAAGGTGGGAGGATCGCTTGAAACCAGGAGTTCAAGACCAGCCTGGGTGACATAGCGAGACCCCATCTCTACCCCAAAAAATGTTTTGGGTTTTTTTGAGACAGGGTCTTGATCTGTTGCCCAGGCTGGAGTACTGTAGCACAATTTTGCCTCACTTGCAGCCTTGACCTCCTAGGTTCAAGTGATCCTCCTGCCTCAGCTTCCAGAGGAGCTGGGACCACAGGTGTGTGCCACCACGCCTGGCTAATTTTTTTTTTTTTTTTTGGTAAAGAAGGGGTCTCACCATGTATTCCAGACTAGTCTTGAACTCCTAGGCTCAAGCAATCCACCCACCTAGGCCTCCCAAAGTGCTGGGATTACAGGAGTGAGCCACTGCATCCGGCTACAATTTTTTTTTTTTTTTTTTTTTAATCTTGCCCTAGGTCACACAAGTAGTAGTTGGACCAAGTTGATGAAGCAGCCTGACTCAGGCAACACATTAGTTAACCAAGACAAAAGGTGAGACTAAGATCCAAGGTCTCTTCCAGCCTTGGGGCCTTTCACTACGTGCATTTTTTTTTTTTTTTTTTCTGAGACGGAGTTGCGCTCTGTCGCCCAGATTGGAGTGCAGTGGCGCCATCTCAGCTCACTGCAACCTCTGTCTCCCAGGTTCCAGCAATTCTACTGCCTCAGCCTCCCGAGTAGCTGGGATTACAGGCGTGGGTCACCACGCCCAGCTAACTTTTTTTTTTATTTTTAGTAGAGACAAGGTTTCACCATGTTGGCCAAGCTGGTCTTGAACTCCTGACCTCAGGTGATCCACCCGCCTCGGCCTCCCAAAGTATTGGGGTTACAGGCGTGAGCCACTGCGCCTGACCCACTACATGCATTTTAACAAACATTTATTTGATAATTCAGATGTTTATTATGCTGAGTGTTCTTAGAGGCACGGAGGACTCAGCAGTGAACAAAACAGACGTGGTCCCTTTCTGCAACTCTTGGAAGGAGAGTGAAGGTAAAGAAACACAGCCAACATTAGTTAGTGGTAAAAACCGATTTTATTCAGTAACTACTGACAGTAGAGGAAAGAGCTGAGCTTCATTCTTATTTGCACAGAGGTGACTAGGAGTTTTGCTTTGTTTGGTTTGGTTTTTAGAGATGGAGTCTCACTCTGTTGCCCAGGCTGCAGTGCAGTGACACGATATCGGCTCACTGCATCCTCCCAGGTTCAAGTGATTCTCCTGCATCAGCCTCCCAGGTAGCTGGGATTATAGGCATGCACAACCACACACGGCTCGTTTTTGTATTTTTAGTAAAGATGGGGTTTCACCACGTTGGCCAGGCTGGTCTTGAACTCCTGACCTCAGGTGATCTGCCCACTTCGGCCTCCCAAAATGCTGGGATTACAGGTGTGAGCCATTGCACCCGGTCCATGACTAGGAGTTTTATTTCTTATTTTTGTTTTTTGAGATCTCGCTCTGTCACCCAGGCTGGAGTGCCGTGGCGCGATCTCCGCTCACTGCAAACTCCGCCTCCGGGCTCACTCCATTCTCCTGCCTCAGCCTCCCGAGTAGCTGGGATTGCAGGTGCCCGCCACATACCCAGCCAATTTTTTTTGTATTTTTAGTAGAGATGGGATTTCACTGTATTAGCCAGGATGGTCTTCATCTCCTGACCTCGTGATCCGCCCCCCTCAGCCTCCCAAAGTGCTGGGATTATAGGCATGAGCTGCCCCAGCCTCATAATGGTAAACTTTTCTTAGAGCTGAGGAAGAAGGTGGTCAGGACCCATCCTTGTCAGGTGTTGGCTAGGACAAATGATAACACTCTTTTGACAGCCCTGAGCTTTTTCAGACTGGAACTCAAAAGGGAGTTGGGCTGCCCCCAAGCGGTAGCCTTAGGCTACTAGAAGCTATGACAAAGTTTAGTCGAGTGTCTTAGTGCAGGGGTTTGAATGCAGTATTCCTGCATAGTTTGCACAGTTTGAGGGGGAGTGTGGAACCAACAGTAAACATGTAAATGACTTTCAGGTAGTGATATTTGAAGACAAGGGAGGTTGGGAGAAGGAATTGATTATTTTGGTGAACTGAGAATCCAGAAATACAAAGGCCTGGGAAGAACAAGTGAAAAGCCCTGAGGCAGGAGTAGGCCTGTCTTTTGCCAGGGCAGGAGGGAAGGCCCGTTTTCCTGGAGCACGGGTAGCACTCAATGAAAGCAGTGAACAGGGTGAGACGAAGGCAGGGGATGGTGAGACAATTGAAGTCTGAGATCTTAGAGATACTCAGAGGCCAGATCACAAGGACTATGTGCCAGCAGGCCCACCCCATAAACTCGTGCAAATTTGCACTGTATAAGGGCAGCTTGTGCTGAAGGGATGAGGACAGGGACCTAAAATTGCACCTGTACTATGTTCACCAAGTTGTACAGTGCATCCCGGTACAGGGCTATGTCAGTCAGCAGAAAAGGCTGCCTTTTCCCAATAACCACAAGCTAGGCAAACTGTGAGCCAGAGGGGCTGCATCTGCCCAGAGGGGCACTGCTGTGGTCTGAATGTTTGTGCCCCCTCCCCACCAAATTCATAAGTTGAAATCCTAACCTCCAAGGTGATGTTATTGGGAGATGGGACCCCTTGGGAGCTGGGCTCCACCTTCATGAGTGGGATTAGTGCTCTTATAAAACAGGCCCAAAGGAGCTCAATTGCCCCTTCCACCAGGAGAGGACACAGAAAGAAGGTCTCATTTATGAACTAGGAAGTGGGTCCTCACCAGATACTGAATCTGCCAGTGCCTTGATCTTGGACTTTACAGCCTCCAGAGCTGTGAGAAATGAATTTCGGTTGTTTATAAACTACCCAGCTTGTGTTTTTTTTCTGTTGTTGTTGTTGTTGTTATAGAAGCCCAAATAGACTAAGACAGGCATTTTTGTCTAAATAGCATGGAAGGGGCTGGACACGGTGGCTCATGCCTGTAATCCCAGCACTTTGGGAGGCTGAGGAGGGAGGATCATTGAGGTCAAGGGTTCAAAACCAGCCTGGCCAACATGGTGAAACCCTGCCTCTACTAAAAATACAAAAATTAGACGGGTGTGGTATGTGCGCCTATAATCCCAGCTACTCTGGGGGTTGAGGCAGGAGAATTGCTTGAACTCGGGAGGCAGAAGTTGCAGTGAGCCAAGATCTTGCCACTGCACTTCAGCCTGGGTGACAGAGTGAGACTCTGTCTCAAAAAAAAACCCCAATAATAATAATAAATAGCATGAAGGTGTTCTATGGGTTAGCTGTGGCTTGTGGGCCAGGCGCTGAGCTAGCAGTTGCCAGGGTAGCAGACCAGTTATGAGGTTATTGAAAAAGCTGAGGCAGCTGTCTTAAGAAAAGAAAGCCATGAAAAATGAGTTTATTTTACCTTATTACCGTGGCCCACTGTGGCTGTTCAGTGGGCATGTTCAGCACCTCCATGGAGAAACTGCAGTGACAGCTGTACAAGGGAAAGAATGATATATTCAGGTACTCGCTGATATTTGAGAGTGACTTCATCCAGATAATTGAACCCCTATTTCCCCTCTTCCTCCTGCGTTCCCTTCTCTCTCCCCACTCAAGTCCTTCCTCAGTCTCTCTCACATTCCTTTTTCTTTTCTTTTTCTTTTTTTTTTTTTTTGAGACAGTCTTGCTCTGTCACCCAGGCTGGAGTGCAATGGTGTGATCTCGGCTCACTGCAAACCTCTGCCTCCTGGGTCCAAGCGATTCTCATGCCTCAGCCTCCCAAATAGCTGGGATTACAGGCATGCACACCATGCCCAGCTAGATTTTGTATTTTTAGTAGAGATGGGGTTTCACCATGTTGGCCAGGCTGGTCTCGAACTCCTGAGCTCAAGTGATCCGCCCACCTCAGACTCTCAAAGTGCTAGGATTACAAGCGTGAGCCGCCATGCCTGGCCTCCTTTTATTTCTTCAACAGAGCATTTATTAAGCACTAATATGTGCAGCACATGCAAAAATGTCCTCAGTGATGTCTCCAAAATCAGGTAGAGGAAACAGACAAGTTTTTGAAAAAATTCATTGAGTTATCAATTTATGCATCTCTATCTTACAGAAAGGATTTGGAGCAGCTGTCAATTCCAAGATTTATCTTTTCCTGACACTATACCAGGATGGACAGCAGAACTAAGCTAGGGCAAGATGATAAGAATCCTTTTATTTATTTTGCTTTAAAAATGTTTATATTATAGGCCAGGCATGGTGGCTCACACCTGTAATCTCAGCACTTTGGGAGGCTGAGGTAGGTGGATTGCTTGAGCTCAGAAGTTTGAGACCAGCCTGGACAACATGGCAAAACATCGTCTCCACGAAAAATACAAAAATTAGCCAGGCATGATGGTGCGTGCCTGTAATCTCACCTACTTGGGAGACTGAGGCAGGAGAATCAATTGAACCCGGGAGGCGGAGGTTGCAGTGAGCTGAGATCGTGCCACTGCACTCCAGCCTGGGTGACAGAGCAAGACCCCATCTCAAAAAAAAAAGTTTATATTATTATATTTATATTGTATATATTTTATCTTCTTTTCAAGTGTGCAGAGGGAATGATAGAAAATAAAACACTCCCAGTTATCTCAGATCTTCACGTTTTGCCATGTTTACTTTGGATTTAATTTTTTTGTTGTTTTTGACACGGAGTTTTACTCATGTTGCCCAGGCGGGAGTGCAATGGCATGATCTCAGCTCACTGCAACATCTGCCTCCCAGGTTCAAGCAATTCTCCTGCCTCAGCCTCCCAAGTAGCTGGGATTACAGGTTCCTGCCACCATGCCAGCTAATTTTTGTAATTTTAGTAGAGACGGGGTTTCACCATGTTGGCCAGGTTAGTCTCAAACTCCTGACCTCAGGTGATGTACCCACCTCGGCCTCCCAAAGTGCTGGGATTATAGGTGTGAACCACCACGCCTGGCCTAGATTTAATTTTTTAAAAATAAAGCATGAAAGATCCAGTTGACTCTCCCTCAGTTCCCTTCCCCAGGTCCCCAAGGTGCATCCCCTGTGAGCCCTCAGTTTCCCTTGTCCTGAATTTGGAGTTTTTCATTCCCATGCATGTTTTGTCCTTCAATTTTATATGAATGTATTCATAAATGTTTTCTAGTAATTTGAAGAACATAATATGGTTTGTTTTGGGTGTCTTGAAACCTTAGACCCGTATGGACACTGTGGGGCCCCTCCTGCAGGTTGCTTTTTATCATTCAACGTTGTCTATATTTGTACACACAGCTCTATATATCTCTTAATTGACATGGTGCTCTCCAGCATTCAAGGACTTCAGGGTCCATTGTTTTCTATGATCCTCACAACAAATGTCATGACCCCCTCAGGACTCAAGAAGAATCTGAGACCCAGAGAGTGAAGTGAAGACCACAAAGGGGCAGAGCCCCAGGCTTCTGACTCCTCACTCACTGTGGTTTCCTCTGCTTGGGTGCCATCTGGATAATACCATGAGTCGCATCATTAAGACAAGAAGTGTGAGTAACCAGAGGGCAGGCAAGTGGGAGGGAGAGGAAAGGAGCATGGAGAAGAGGGTAGAAAGCAAGGGTGGACAAGGGAAGGAAGAAAAGGGGGCAGAACCAGCTGAAGGAGCTGTATAGCTTTAAATCTATCAGTGATTTTCATGCTCAACCTTGGCCACTCATTGGGATCACCTGGGGAGCTTCGCCAACTCGTGATGCCTGGCATCCACCCCCAGAAATTCTAATATAATTGGCCTAGAGGGAGGACTGAATAGGAGGATGTTTAAAAGCTCCCCAGCTGGTTTGAATATATAGGTGGGGTTGCAAGTCATTGACTAAGCAAAGCAATTTGTCAGGCAGTAAATTGGCTGAGGGGGTGGAACTCAAAAGCTGGCTTGTTAACATTAATAAGATCTTACACCTTGAAGGCTGGCTTGATAATACGATGTAAATAAGGTATTGAGATCTTAGGCCTAGATTCTATCAACAGAAATGGGCTAAAATGAAGGAGGTGATAATCCGTTTTCCTTAGTGTTGTTCATACTAGTCTTACACTATTGTGTTCAGTCATTGGGGCTTTGACTTGAAGGAGAGACCAACAATTTTCACAATGAATACCAGTAAACCCCTACAGAGTAACGGAATTCAGCAAACACTCTAAGTACTTCCTTTATGCTGTGCCTGTGCTATAGGGAAGGAAGACAGAGATGAGAAAATCATAATCCTTGCCCTCAAGAAGCTCAGACAAACAGGCAACCTGGACATAGGTACAGACAATTAACTCAATGGGCTAAATGCTAGAGATAAGTCCAAGGAACAGAAAGCAGAGAACACCTAACTCTACCTTGGAAAGACTGGCAGAGGGGCTCAGGGTAGGCTTCACAGGAGGGCTGCATGAGTGAACCAAGTCTCGAAGGTTGAGTAGGAGTTGGTTAAGGGCATGGCTGAGGCTGGGAGTTAGGAAGAACATGTGCAAAGGTTTAGGGTAGTAGAAGCACATGGAACACATATGTGGCAGGGGAGAAGCTGGTGATGAGGCTGGAAAGATGGGGGCCTTGTGTGCCATACCCAGAAGTCCTGGCTCGACTCTGTAGGCAGCCAGGCATCATCAAAGCGAGGAATATAGGGAAAGCAGGGAGAGCCTTATGGAGAGGAGGCATCTAAGCTGAGTCTTGGAGGATGAGTAGAATTTCAACAGGCAGGGATGTGGGATGGAGAAGAAGGCTTCCCAAGAAGGGGCAGGAGCAGAAAGAAAAGTGTGAGCAAAGATGTGGAGGCAGGATAAGTTTGACATGTGTCAGACACAGTGAAGGAATCGATCCTCTGGTAGGAGTGATCACAGTCATCTGGGGCCCTTTTTTTTTTTTTTTTTTGAGACTGCGTCTTGCTCTGTCGCCCAGGCTGGAGTGCAGTGGCACCATCTCGGCTCACTGCAAGCTCAGCCTCCCAGGTTCACGCCATTCTCCTGCTTTAGCCTCCTGAGTAGCTGGGACTACAGGCTCCCGCCACCACGCCTGGCTAATTTTTTTGTATTTTTTAGTGGAGACGGGGTTTCGCTGTGTTAGCCAAGACGGTCTCGATCTCCTGACCTCCTGATCCACCCGCCTCGGCCTCCCAAAGTGCTGGGATTACAGGCGTGAGCCACCACACCCAGCCTATCTGGGGCACTTTTTTAAAAAATCTTTTTTTTTTTCTTTTGAGACAGCGTCTGGCTCTGTCACCCGGGCTGGAGTGCAGTGGTGTGATCTCGTCTCACTGCAACCTACACCTACCGGGTTGAATTGATTCTCCTGCCTCAGCCTCCCGAGTAACTGGGACTACAGGTATGTGCCACCACACCTGGCTAATTTTTGTATTTTTAGTAGAGATGAGGTTTTTCCATATTGGCCAGGCTGGTCTTGAACTCCTGGTCTCAAATGATCCACCTGCCTCGACCTCCCAGAGTGCTGGGATTACAAGCATGAGCCACCGTGCCTGGGCAAAATATCTTTTTTTTTATTTCTTTACTTTCTTAATACACTTACTTTAAATTAAGAAAAAAAAAAAAAAAAAAAAAGCCTGGCACGGTGGCTTATGCCTGTAATCCTAGCACTTTGTGGAGGCCGAGGCAGGAGGATTGCCTGAGCTCAGGAGTTCAAGACCAGCCTGGGCAATACGGTAAGACCCTGTCTCAATAAATAAATAAATACATTTTAAAAAGAAAAAAGGATTAAATATCAATCCCTGGCCTCCACTCCCCTCCCATCCTCCAAGATGATTCTAATTTATATGGTCTGGTAGTGGAATCCTGGTATCAGTATATTTTAAAAGTCCCCCAGGTAATCATAATCTGCAGCTGGGCTTGAGAGCCACAGCTGTAGGGGAGCTGTTGAGGACATGGATGGAAAGGTTGACTAGAGCCAGATACCAGTGACTATAAATTAGCTAATGTTTATTGATTTTTTTTCTTCAGACGTGGTCTCTGTTGCCCAGGCTAGAGTGCACTGGTACAATCACAGCTCACTGCAACCTTGACCTGCTGGGCTTAAGTGAGCCTCCCACCTCAGCCTCCTGAGTAGCTGGGACCATAGGCATGTGCCACCATGCCCAGCTAATTTTTAAAAAATTTTTTGTAGAGATAGAGTCTTACTATGTTGCCTAGGCTGGTCTGGAACTCCTGAGCTCAAATGATCCTCCTGCCTCAGCCTCCCAAAGTGCTAGGATTATAAGCATGAGCCACCTCGCCTGGCGTATTGAATGTTAACTGTGTACTATTCACTTAGTGTAGATTAATCCATTTAATCCTCACAACTCTATGAGGATGGGTACTATCATCATCCTTGTGTTGGAGCTGTGGAAACATAATTTGTGCAATGTCATATGCCGAAGTGGCAGTCTGACTTTCAAGGCATATCCTAGAAGGGCTTATATTCCAGGCCAAGATGTTGGCTTTTCTTCTGTAATCACCTTTGCTAGTTCAATGTGTATTCATCCGGAATTTTTCTTTATGCATCTGAAAGCAAGTACCCATACACATTTCCCCCTTTCTTACACAAAAGGTAGCATACTCTTCTTCTTCCTTTTTTTTTTTTTTTTTTTTGAGATGGAGTCTCACTCTGTCACCCAGGCTGGAGTGGAGTGGCATGATTTGGCTCACTGCAACCTCTGCCCCCTGAATTCAAGCAATTCTTCTGCCTCAGATTACAGGTATGTGCTAAAAAGGTAGCATACTCTTTACACCTTCTGTCCCTTGCTTTTATGAACAATGTATCCTGAAAATCATTACAAATCAGTACATAGAGAGCTTCCCCGTTTTTTTAACAGTTTATTAGCATTTCTTTGTGTGCATGTACCCTACTTGATTTTGTCTTGGATTGGTTTCAGTTTCTGGCTATCAAAATGCTGTAATGAATAATCTTGTTTATGTGCCATTTTGCATATTCCCAGAAATGAAATTGCTGGGTTAAGGGGTAGGTAGATGTGCATTTGTAATTTAAACAGGTGTTACCAAATTGTCCTCTGTAGATGTACTGTTTTGCATTCCTACCTGCAGCATATGACAGTATGTTGGCACTGTAAAAATTTTTAGATTCAGGTGGTATATGTACAGGTTTGTTACATATGTATATTGCATGATGCTGAGGTTTGGGCTTCTATTGTACCTGTTACCTGAATAATGAATATAGCACCCAATAGGTAGTTTTTCTTTTTTCCTTTTTCTTTTCTTTCTTTTTTTTTTATTTTTATTTTGACAGGGCCTTGCTCTGTTGCCCAGGCTGGAGTACAGTGGCGTGATCTCAGCTCACTGTTACCTCCGCCTCCTGGGTTCAAGGGATTCTCCTGCCTTAGCCTCCCAAGTAGCTGGGACTACAGGCATGTGCCACCACCCCTGGTTAATTTTTGTATTTTCAGTAGAGACGGGGTTTCGCCTGTTGCCCAGGCTGGTCTCGAACTCCTGACCTCAGGTGATCCACCCGCTTTGGCATCCCAAAGTTCTGGGATTTCAGGCGTGAGCCACCGCACCTAGCCACAATAGGTAGTTTTTCAACCTTTGTCCCCTTCCCTCACTCTCTCCTTTTGGAGACCCCAGTGTCTATTGTTCCCATCTTTATGTCTGTGCGTATCCAATGTTTAGCTCCCACTTATAAGTGAGAACATGTAGTATTTGTTTCTTTTTTCCCAATTAGATCCTGATATTTTAGGGTCAGGTATGGTGGCTCATGCTTGTAATCCCAGCACTTTGGGAGACCAAGGCAGGTGGATTGCTTGAGCTCAGGAGTTTGAGACCAGTCTTGGCAACAAGTCGAAACCCCATTCTACAAAAAGTATTAGCCAGGCGTGGTGGCATGCGCCTGTAGTCCCAGCTACTCAGGAGGATGAGGTGGGAGGATTGCTTGAGCCCAAGAGGTGAAGGTTGCAGTGAGCTGACATCACACCACTGCACTCCAGCCTCGGTGTGCAGTGAGACACAGTGAGACTCTGTCTCAAAAAAAAAAAAAAAAATCCTGAAAAAACTGTGGATTTTTTTCCAACTTTTATTATAGATCAAAGGGTATATGCGCAGATTTGTTACATGGGTAAATTGCATGACACTGAGGCTTGGGGTCCCAATCATCATATCGCCCAGGCAGTAAGCATAGTACCCAACAGGTGGTTTTTCAGCCCACGCCCTTCTCTCTCCCTCTCCCATCTAATGGTTCCCAGTGTCTATTTTTCCCATCTTTTTTTGTTTGTTTTAGTTTTCAAGATAATTTTTATTTTTACTTCTTTTAAAAAATGGACATTAACATTCAGTATATATGTGTACCTTAAAACTTCACCCAGGTTTACAAAAATTAGTCGGACATGGTGGCACATGCCTGTAATCCCAGCTACTCGGGAGGCTGAGGCAGGAGAATCACTTGAACCCGGGAGGCAGAGGTTGCAGTGAGCTGAGATCGCACCACTGCACTCCAGCCTGGGCGACAGAGCAAGACTCCATCTCATACAAAAAACAAAAACAAAAACAAAACTACAAAAAAAATTCACCCAGCCTACTCTGGGCACACTGTCCATGGGTTAGTCCTGCTCTGTAAGGAGCAGTAAAAAACAACAAAATCTCCCAATTTAGTGAAAACAAGGCATTCAATGGCAGACCAGCAGCAGAAACTGCTTATTACCTAATAATCATTTATGAAGTCATATCTATATAAAAACAAACACTAAAGAGAATAGACAACCAAAGTGACAGGCATAATTATAAATAAATACCAGATTACCAGATTTTAAATATTAATCTGTAAAAGTTTTACTACCTAAGGATTTTCACTCAAAGGAGAAAAAATACATAGTAACACCAAGCTTGCAGAATGGGGAGTTAACAGATACATTTTCTCTTAATGGAAACCCATCTAGCTTCAGTAACATTTCTGGATGAAGCATCAAGTTACTGTTGTACTTTTTTTTTTTTTTTTTTTTTTTTTTTGAGGCGGAGTCTCGCTCTGTCGCCCGGGCTGGAGTGCAGTGGCCGGATCTCAGCTCACTGCAAGCTCCGCCTCCCGGGTTTACGCCATTCTCCTGCCTCAAGACTCCCGAGTAGCTGGGACTACAGGCGCCCGCCACCTCGCCCGGCTAGATTTTTGTATTTTTTAGTAGAGACGGGGTTTCACCGGGTTAGCCAGGATGGTCTTGATCTCCTGACCTCGTGATCCGCCCGTCTCGGCCTCCCAAAGTGCTTTTTTTTTTTTGAGACGGAGTCTCTGTAGCCAGGCTGGAGTGCAGTGGTGTGATCTCAGCTCACTGCAACCTCCGCCTCCTGGGTTCAAGCCATTCTCCTGCCTCAGCCTCCCGAGTAGCTGGGACTACAGGCACGTGCCATCATGTCCAGCTAATTTTTGTATTTTTAGTAGAGACAGGGTTTCACCATATTGGCCAGGATGGTCTCAATCTCTTGACCTCGTGATCCGCCTGCCTCGGCCTCCCAAAGTGCTGGGATTACAGGCGTGAGTCACTGCGCCCAGCCTTTTTTTTTTTTTTTTTTTTTTTTTGAGATGGAGTTTCACTTTTTTTTTTTTTTTTTTTTTTTTTTTTTTGAGATGGCGTTTCACTCTTGTTGCCTAGGCTGGAGTGCAATGGTGCGATCTTGGCTCACAGCAACCTCTGCCTCCCAGGTTCAAGCTATTCTCCTGCTTCAGCCTCCCGAGTGGCTGGGATTATAGGCATGTGCCACCACGCCCAGCTAATTTTGTATTTTTAGTAGAGACGAGGTTTCTCCATGTTGGTCAGGCTGGTCTGGAACTCCTGACCTCAGGTGATCTGTCCACCTCAGCCTCCCACAGTGCTGGGATTAAAGGCTTGAGCCACCATACCTGGCCACTGTTGCACATTTTTAAAAGACTGGTACAGCTGTGTTTCCTCTCATTTTAAATCCTTCTCTTCATTTAAAGTATTGGCAGGAGCATCATTACATAGTCTAGAATGTCTTTGTGTAATCCATTTGACTCCTCCTTTTGATCTTCATCAGTATTAACCTGTTCAATTGTCTGTACCCTGGGTGTATTCATTAACATTATCATTTCCTAGGGACTATTACTCAGCAGCTTTGCCTGCCTTCTTTCCGAGGTCGGTTGTTTATTTCTCTCAATCCTTTGTTGTTGCTCTTCTGTTAGGCTTCTACTTGACTCAGAAGCAAACATCTCACTTTCAGATGAGTTTGTCAGAAAGGGATCTAATACAGCAGCAGTTACACAATGTCCATTATTTTCCCCAACTTCATCATTATTGCTAACAACATATTCAT